AATCAACAATGTATTACAGCTCACATATCTGTGGGACAGCTGGAGTAGTATATCTATGCATAAACAGTGCATAAACTACTAAACAGTAGTTTATCTATGCTGGGTTCAGCTGGGTGGCTCTTCTTTTTATGAAGATCTGCTACTTGGCTGGGGAGCCACTGGTCTGTATTTCTTATGCTTCTCTTTAGTTCATACTAGCTATAGTATCTTTTTGCCATGGCAATGGCAGAAGACAAAAGAACAATTAGCAATGGGGTCTTTAAGTGCCAGATTCAAAATTGACACACTGTCATTTTTATCACGTGCCATCAGATAAAATAAGTTACATGTCCATGGGGTGGGAAATATACTCTATTGTTAATGAGGTACACACATAGTAGTGTGTGGATGCTCAGATAAGTGAAGAATTGCAGTCAGTAGTGCAGTAATGCAATTTATCATATCCTTATTTCTTGAAACACTCCCCCCTTTAAACAATACTGTCTTGATCACCTCACTTTTTATTTCCTCAGTTCTTTCTTCAACCTCAGTATTGTGTGTAGGCTTTACCTAAGGTTCAGCTTTTCAGTCATGAATTTTTCCATGTGTGTGCTCTTCTTAAGAAAGCTTATCTGGGACCAGACACTCTAATTTTCTAATGGTCATTTCTATTACAATCAGGCATTTCCATATCTCCATTTGGAATTGCCTCAACTCACAATCTGGTTTCATGTCCTACTTAAATCAATGTTTTTTTTCTAATAAAAAGCTGTATCTCTAAAAAAGGCTTGGGTCTTCTTTTTAAATTATATTTTATTGACTATGTTATTGCAGTTGTCCTGATTTCTCCCTCTTGGTCCCCCTCTACCCAGCATCCCCGACTCCTTCAGGCAATCCCAACACCATTGTTCAAGTCCCTGGTCATGTGTATAAGTTCTCTGGCTACTCTATTTCCTATACAGTACTTTACAACCCCATGACTATTCTGTAACTACCTATTTGTACTTCTTAATTCCCTCACCTTTTCTCCCATTCCCCACACCACCATGCCATCTGGCAACCATTGAAACACTCTCTGTATTCTTGATTCTGACTCTGTTCTTCTTGTTTGGTTGGTTTGTTTTTGGATTCAATTGTTGATAGATATGTATTTTTAGTATTTTTGACACTTAATTGTTCATAGTTTTGATCTACTTTTTCTTAAATAAGTCCCTTTAACATTTCATATCATAATGGTATGGTGATGATGAACTCCTTTAATTTTTCCTTTTCTGGGAAGCTCTTTATTTGCCTTTCAATTCTAAATGATAGCATTGCTGGGTAGAGAAATCCTGGCTGTAGGCCCCCACTTTTCATGACTTTGAATATTTCTTGCCAATACCTTCTAGTCTGCAAAGTTTCTTGGGAGAAATCAGCTGATAGTCTTACGGGAACTCCTTTGTAGATAACTGACTTCTTTTTTCTTGCTGCTTTTAAGATTCTATCTTTATCTTTAACCTTTAGTATATTAATTATGGTGTGTCTTGGATGGGCCTCTTTGCATCCCTCTTCCTTGGGACTCTCTGTGCTTCCTGGAAATGCATGCCTATATCCTTCACCAAATTAGGGAAGTTTTCTTTCATTATTTTTCAAATAGATTTCCAATACCTTGTTCTTTCTCTTCTTCTGAGGCTTATGATGCAAATGTTGGGCCTCTTGAAATTGTTCCAGAGGTTGCTTATACTATCATTTTTGGGGGATTCTATTTTCTTCTTGTTGTTCTGATCAGTTGTTTTTACTTTCATATGTTCTAAATCATCGATTTGATTCTTGGTTTCATCCACTCTACTGCTGTTTCACTGTAAATTGTTCTTTCTTTCAATTAGTGTATCCTTTGTATCTGACCAGCTCTTTTTTATGCTGCTGAGGTCCTCACTAAGTTCCTTGAGCACCCCTATAACCAGTGCTTTGGACTCTGCATGTGATAGATTGCTTATCTCCATTTTGTTTAGTTCTTTTTCTGGAGTTCTGATCTGTTCTTTTACTTGGGCCACATTTCTTTGTCTCCTCATTTTGGCTACCTCCCTGCATTTGTTACTATGTATTAAGTAGAGCTGCTTTGACTGTGTGTCTTGGTAGTGTGGCCTAATGTAGTAGGTGTCTTACAGGACACCTTACAGGGTTCAGTGGTACAACTTCCCCTATCACCCAAGGTGGGTACTCCAGGTATATCCTTCATGTGAGCTGAATACATCCTCCTCTTGTGGTTGAGCCTTGGTTGCTGTTGGCAGATCAATGGGAAGGATTTACCCAGGCAAGTCAGGGGCAAGGACTGGCTGTGGCCACTTACCACCAACCTCTGCCATCCACGGAGGATCAGCTGTGCAGGGTCAGGGTCGCAGAGCTCTGATGTGGTCTATAACTCTCCACTGGTTATGCTAGCCCTGAGATTCCCTAGGTGGTGCTGGCCAAGGTCAGCCCCTACCTGTGTTTTTCCCAGGGTCACCCTGCCTGAGCCATAAAGCAATATGAGATGGCTGCTACTTGTGCATTGCAAGCTCTGAATCTAGGCTGGCTGCTGATAGTACCAGGACTGGGGCTCACTGAGGTCAGAAGTTGCTTGTTTGAGAGGATTTAGGAAGTTGTACAACATTAGCCAAGACCAGCGATCTTGTAGAAAAGCAGCTTGGGTGGGCCTGTAAGTTGAGTGGGGCAGAGTCTCTGGGGATCTCCAAGGCAGGTCAAACAGTATTAATCAGGTTGATGGAGACTCAGATATGGCACCAGCTGCCTGGCTCTGTGGCTCTGAGGGGAAAGGGTTGAGAAAGAAACAATGGACTCTGCTCGCCTTGGTGCTAGACACTTCAGTTCTTCCCTGTATTCTACTGATGCCTTTCAAGCTGCTACCCCAGTGCTGGAGCTCAGAGATACGGAAACTGAGTAGGTAAGTCTATGTGTAAGTTCTTTAAGAGGAACTTCTTGGGGCTCTAGAAGTTTCTTCCACTGACTCAATCCCTTCTGGTTTTTGCAATCAGAAGTTGTGGGGACTTATCTTCCTGGCAGTGAAACCCTAGGCTGGGAAACCTGATGTGGGGCTGGGACTCCTTGCTCCTGAAGTATCCCTCCCGAAATTTTATCTACCACACATGGATGTGAGACCAGCCTGTTCCACATCTGCCCCCCTTCTATCAGTTTGGATTGATGTGATTTATTTAATTCCATAGTTGTCAGACTTCCATTCAAATAGATTTCTGATGGTTCTGAGTCAAAAAACTTGGGTCTTTAGATCATGTCTGATATGAACATAAAACAAAAACCAAACAAAGCCCTAATGAAAACTTTATGCTACATTAATAAGAATTTGGCATTCCTAAAACTTAAAATATATCTGAAAGAAAACAATAATGATGAAAAGAGTATTAAAAATTATTTTCTCAGAGAAACAGTTAAAGTTATTAAGATTATTTTAAATCTAGAGATTATATGGGGTATCGTGGTGACCAGGTTCAGATAATTGAAAGTATGTGGTATGAAAAGACCTGAAGTGGGTTTTTTGTTTGTTTGTTTGTTTGTTTTGTTTTTTAATTTTAGGCAGCACCACATCCAAAGGGTGGATTTAAGGGAGAAAAATTTCAGCTTGATATAATGAAGAAATGTGTAGTAAAAGGAAATGTACAGAAAAAGAATGAGCTGATATCTTTATTTTTTACTTGTATTATTCCTAAAATGTATTGCTCTTCCTTCTCCCAATAATGCATCAAAATCCTATCTGCCTCTTAAGCATATCTCAAGCCTTTATCCCTTCATAAACTCTTCCCTGAGTGCTCATATTGTATCAGTTATTTTCAATTTATCTTGCTAATCTCCTACCCCATCCCAACTAACGAGCTCTTTCAAAGTAGAAACACAACATACTATTTTATAAGTTCAAGTATGAAACACAACATTGAGTTTATAATAAGCATTCAGTAAACTTTTACTGGTTTACTGTTCTATCACAGATTTCCTGATTTTAAATCTAGAATCACTGGACTTGGTTAGAATTTGAATCAGATTTAAATGCTCAAGAATCTGATCATTTCACACTGATTTCACAAGAGGGTATGGTTTCTGATTTTTTAATGATAGCCCAAAGGAATAACAGATTTTGCCATTACTTGCCATCCAAGGTTATATTTTCCTACTTACCATGAAAAAAGAAGACACTGAATCCTCTAAGATCTTAAATATATAGTTCTGATAATTTGTTGGGAGTAGGAGAGTGAATATGTCATCATTTCTTCGTGTCTGAAAATTATTTAGAATAAAAATCAGCTGGTGAATGGGAATATATGATATGGAGGAACACATACAACACTCTAGTTTGTATTCAGGTCTGCCTGTTGTCATAGTTACTGATGGACTCAAAGCAATTTCCTTCCCAAATCACACTCTGTAAACCTTCAATGAAAATAAGCTATTCTTCATGATTTATTTTTCTCTCCCCATGAATTGAAACTCAAAAATATCATCAATTGTATGTTTTTTTTTAACATTTTTAGCAAGATTTTAAATGAACAAAAGCAAAAGAGGTTTAATTGAAATAAGCATCCTGATTAAGGTCTCACCTCACTTGTTCAGCAGTGATTCATTGAGTAGCTAGGTATTGGGACACAACTGTGATTATGGCCCAGTCCCTTCCCTAAAAGAGATGAGAGCTCTGTGAGGGAAAGAGAGGAGTACAGAGGCATGTCAATAAAAGGCAATCAGAGCTGTGGTGGAGGCAGAGAAGAGAGGCCTATGGAAACAAAAGAGAAACACTTCATAAAGTTTGGGGTCCTGGTGCAGTCAGATTAAAGGGAAGCTTCCATCCTGTGAATCTTGGAGCACTGTTCCTGTGAAGTTAGCAAATGCATTTTCAGTCACTTTGGGTACAAAACACTGATGTTACCCTGCAGGCTGGGCTCATGACACAGTGGAGTGAGGAGACCAGCTCTTCATAAGTGAAGTGCCATCATCTGCTAATATTCATGCACAGCCTCTCCCTTCTGCTCTGGCTGCAGGAACTCCTTCACCGACATCCTCCGTGCCATCCTGCTGTCATTGGAAGTCCTTATTGAAGATCCAGAGCTTCAGATAAATGGCTTCCTTTTAATTATAGACTGGAGTAATTTTTCCTTCAAACAAGCCTCCAAACTGACACCTTCCATTCTCAAACTGGCCATTGAAGGGTTACAGGTATGTTCAATGAATGTACAATATAATACTGTGTGTGACAATGTACTTTTTTCTTATTACAATCAAAGTAATGTGTCTTATAGAATGGAAAAAGAAAACAGATAAAATTCACCCATGATATTTTCTGTTTTCACCTTAGCCTAAATTTAGATGTTTGTGTTTTTTTTTAATTAGCCTTCACTTTCATTAATAACTCCAAATTACTGTTACCAAAGGCACAAATTACCTACTGTAGCAATTATGAGTAAAGCTTGGAGATATTTAGCCTAATTCATTTGAGAGTTTACAAAAATTAAAACTAGCAAATATCTGCTTTATGAGAATGTCTGATACAGAGGTGGCATGGGAGCTTTCCAAGATTTCTAGAAGCACCTTTGTACCCCAGAGAGGCCCCCTGTGGATGTTCATTGCCTAGAATGCAGTGTGCTGCAGTGTTTGTACTAATGTGGATCGCTTCAGTGCAAACAACAGAAGCAAAGGAATGTCTACTTCCTGTTTGTATGGATGTTGTCGGGCCTTTGGGGAGGGATTTTCTGTGCTGTGTGAAGGTGTGGGTAGTCAGTCTCTGGGCTCCCTTTGACTTTTAAGAACCAATGATTCTGTGAAAAGTAACAAACTCAGAGAGGTGATGCTGCTTAGCTTCTTGGTGATACATTATCATAGTACAAAAGTAAAGGCACAGTTCAGGGAGATTCAGGATCAGAATAAATAAAACTCATGTCCTTTTTTTTCTCATGTCCCTTCTTAATTTTGTGCTAAGATTGACTCAATGGGATGATACCTTGTCCCAATAAACAGCAGTTATATGCAGCTATGTAGATGGTACACTATTTGCTAATTTTCAGATAAAGCAGCTGTTACTTATGTGCTTCAAAGTGCAAGACTAGATAACACTTAGAAACAGGCAAGTGTGGTGATAGCCAGAGGGAAAGGGGGGCTTGGGGAGGTGGACGTGGGCAAAGGGGGAATAAATGGGGACAGAAAGAGACTTTACTTTGGGCAATGGTCACATGATGCAGTGCAGATAGTGTTTTGTTGAGTCGTACACTTGAAACCTGTATGATTTTGTTATCCAATGTCATCCCAATAAATTCAATTAAAAATATTCAATAATTACTCCAGTTTCTCTAGATGCTTTGGTTTTACTTCTGGTAATAAAATGTTGTGCATCTAAGTCTTCAGCTGAATACTGAACATGCAGATGGTGCAAATTTGAACCAATGAAAATAAAATGAATAAAGCAATAATGATTTTTAAAAAGCAGAAGACTAGAAATCCTATCTTAATCACCCATCCTACGCTAGTGTGAGGAATAAATAGCGGGCCTGTTTCTTAAGTTGGGGCTTATTCCCATTTGGCCCCCAGTAAAAGTCTAGTGGGCCTCTGATAAACATGTGTTTATTGAGTGGGCCTAATTTGATTGAAATAAGGAAAGAAGGGGAGCAAGAAGAGGAAGAGCAAGCACCCACCATTCCAGGAGTGCCCACGTGTCCTGGGTGGCTCCATCATGCAGTGTATCAGGGGCACATTCTTAAAGCCTCTGAACATTTGATCTGTCTCTCCTTAAAGCTTTTATCAAAGGGAGTTTCAAAGTAAGCTGCAAGGTTTATGTCATGCCCTATAATTATGCTGACCATATTTCCAGGATTTTCAGTGGTATTACAAGCTTCATTAATTTTATCTTTTTAAAAAAGAGATAATTCATTACATGTAGAACTAGCTGTGATGCAAGTTCTCTGTATTTATAACAATTTTTCATAAATCAAGAAGGAAAATGTCCTTTATCCAACCTTGTGTTGTGTTCTAGTTTTTCTTTCTTAAAAATGTGTGTATTATATAATACGTCCCTGGACAAATTCACTAGGGTAATGTAGGTCTTACTGAGTTAATGGATGCAAATGTGCTTTACAAGGTAAAGCTATACATAAGCTTATAAACTATTTTTACAAGAAGTACTAGATGACCTTTTGTGGGGCAAGGAGGGTCCATCTGAGCCTTCACTTGTCAGGTTCCAGATCTGGGATAAACTTTGCAATGTCCTGTAGCTCTGATTAGGAAGTAGCCTCTCCTGGAAGAAGGGGAGATGTATAAGGCCAGGGTCAGAGCAGAGAAAATGGATATCCTTCCATCATTGCACAGAGCAATGGCCTTGGTCCCTTTGTTCCTCTTCCCTTTTATAAAGCAAGTTAACTTCACCTTGACTGTGGGAAACTGTCAGGCCATCCTGGAGTGAGGCTATCTGGATGGGGATGCAGCTTTTTCCTGTGGACTCTGCCTGTCCAAGCTATGAAGACTTGGGAACACTTTAACAGGTTCAGTCCCTCCTACCAGGAAAAGGAAGCCAATGGTTGCAGGGGAGGCTGAGCTGGGTGCAGCTTGTCCACCTGGGGTGTGACTCGCTATACCATTTAGCTTGTTGTCTTGAAGAAGCCCTCAAGGTCACTGGAGTGAGTAGTCAGCTCTGAGCAGCCACTGACAACTTTTCACACAGGGCTCTACTCTTTTGGGCTTTGGGGACATTCAGACACCATGGTTGCCCCTCCAGTGGCTCTCCCTATGACTTTTCTTCATTGCAGGGATAGTTTCCATCCCTAATGTAGCCGTCAACTCCTTTTGACATTTCAAAAAAGTCACAACTGGCCCTGGTCAGATGGCTCAGTTAGTTGGAGCATTGTCTCATACACCAAAAGGTTGCAGGTTCGAGTCCCAGTCAGGGCACACTATGGAGACAACCAGTCAATGTTTCTCTCTTTTTTTCTCTCTCTCTTCCTCTCTCTCCTCCACCCTCCTTCTCTCTCTAAAATCAATAAACATATTGATTTTCTTGAGTGAGGATTTTTTTGACAATGAGGAAAGGGGAGGGGGAAGGGAGAAGGGTGGAAAGAAGGGTAAGAGACGATTCAAAGAACATGTGTGAATGACCCATGGACATGGACAACAGGGTGGGGATGACTGTGGGAGTCAGGCTTGGGTGGGGCAGTGGAGAGGAATGGGGCAAAATAATAGAACAACATAATATTAAAAAGTCATAACTAGTACTAAGCAGAATTTATGCCTTTGTAGTCACACTGTTTGTTGTACGAGGAGGGTCCCATTCAGGTTTCCATTTGTCAGCCATGAAGGTTCAAGATAAATTCTACAACACCACCAGCGTGAGTGAAGGCATAGACTGGTGGAGAAAGGGAAAGCTCTCTAAATTCAGTGTCAGTGAGAGAGGAGAAGCCACTACTCTTCCTTCCTCCTCTGCACCCTCAGAGAGACCTGAGGAGGTCAGAGTGTCTGCTAGACATGTGGGAGATTGCGGGGGCAGGGATAGCCTATGTTCCAGTGAAGGAAACCCACTCTCCCTTTGTCCTGCATTTATTTGTAGGGTAGATGTAAGAAAGTAACCTTATCATAAAAAATAATCAGACCACCTTTGTGCTAGCTCACCTGGTTGGGATTTCAGCTGTTTATTGGAGTAGTCTAGGATTACCTGCTGCTCAACCCCTGGAGAATTTGGAGCTCTGGGACATGACAGTCCTTCCTCCAACAACAAATAATCCCTCCTGCAGGAAGAAGGGATTGGGGACCACTGTTCAGACAGTGAGAAGTTAGGGTCATTTTGGGTAATTCTTGCACCCTGCATCACAACCTTATTCCAGAACTCCCAGTTTTAGCCCTGTTGCCTCCATTCTTAGTTCTCAATAAGCTAGTCATTCCATGAGACATTCAATTACTAATGGTTGTAGGTTGCATTCTCCAGGGAGCAGATTCTGACATAGGGATCAACATGCAGGAGATGTATTAGGGAGTTCTCTTGGGGTCAACATTTATAGAAAAGAAGCCGTGGAAGAAAGTTTGGAGCAGAAGTTAAACTGGGGTTCAGTCGTTTCCAGTGACAGCCTCAGATATTCTGAAGCTGAGATGATCCTTCAGAATTGTCCCTACTTTGGGCCAAGGATTCTGGCCCTTTATATTCCCACGTTGTTCAGTCATTACATACAGGCTGCCCCGGGAAGTGGTTGGGCCAAGTGGCTCTCTTCAGCTTGAATCCTGAGAGGGCACTGTTATCTGAGAATTTTCTCCTGGTAGCACCTGTAGTGTCCAGGTAATAAATCCTCAACTCTGAAGGAGGTCTGACTGCACATGGAATATCTAGTGTAATAAGTAATAGATATTTGGAGTACCCTGTGATGCCATGTAATGAATCAGGATGTTTAACTTTTTTTCTTGGCTACAGACAATTTACCCCAAATTGGTGACAGTCTTCTATTGAGGTCTACCAGTTATATTTCTATGCCTCGAAAGGCAATTATATGTATTCAACTGAGCTTTAATAAAGGAGCAAAAGCAATACAATGTAGCAAAGATAGTTTTTTACACAAATGGTGCTGAAACAATTGGAAATCCACATGCAAAAAGTTTAATCTAGACACAGAACTTATGCCCTTCACAGAAATTACCCAAAATTGATTACAGACCTAAATACAAAATGCAAAACTATTTAACTTCTATAAGATGACATAGGAGAAAACCTATGCAACCTTTTGGTATGGTGATGGCTTTTTAGATAAAACACTAAAAGCAGAATCCATGAAAAAAATTGATAAACTGGATTTCGTTACAACTAAAAATCTCTGGTCTGCAAAAGACAATGTCAGGAGAATGAGTAGAAAAGCCACTGATTGAGAGAAGATATTTGCAAAAGATACTTCTGATAAAGGACTTGTATCCAAAATATGCAAAGATATCTTAAAACTCAACAACAAGAAAACAAATATTCCAATTTAAATTTTTTACCTCAATAGACACCTCACCAAGAATGGCAAATAAACATATGAAAAGATGCTTCCCATCATGTGTTATCAGGTAAATGCAAATTAACAGAATAATGAAATATTACTGCATACCTAATGTCCAAAATCTGGAACACTGACAATCCCAAATGCTGGCAAGGATGTGGAGCAACAGGAACTCACATTCATTGCTGGTGGGGATGCAAAATGGTAAAGCCACTT